TTTCTTTTGCAGAAATTTTTTATATTTTTTGAAGTTTTTGATTATCAAACTGACTATTAAAATCTCTGAAAACTCTTTTTACTTGAGTAAAATTAAAAGTAACCATAAATAAGCTTTTGCGAACGGCCTAATTTTGGCAAAAATAAACGTGCTTGCTCTCTTTAGTCACGCGAATATAGACAAAACCAACGGTTTCCAATCGTTTTTTTCGGCACTGGGAAATCTTTGTAAATTTTTTTATTATTTTTCAAATCAATACTGAAAAAACTTTACTATGATATATCACTCAACTCTCTTCGATGTTACTTTTTTTAACAAATGTTTTCAAATTGTCGAAATTTTTGAAATGGTCAAAAGAATAACTCACAGTTTCTTGATAGAACAGCTTGCCTAGAAAATCCAAGCCCCAAAAAAAAGAACTTTCAATTATTTTCAACTATAGGTTTGAGAGTTCCTAATGATGAGCTGCGAAAGTTTCCAGTCGATGTTTGTGGTTTCCTGCAGGTTTCAAAAAGGCTGATTTTTAGTTTGACAGGAAATGTCTAGCCAATAAGTTGATGCTAAATGATTATAGTTAAAGCGTTGTGTTTAGCAAAACAAGAAAAAAGTTGTCCAGATTAAGAATGTTTAGTTTGCTTGAGAGAAACTGGAATCCTTGCGTCCATAGACTTTTTAGTATTTGATTTGATATACAAGAGGAATGTTTTTTCTAACCGTATAAATTAGGTTACGAATTTTCTCACCAGCGTTTAGTCTGAAATAAGATTACCAAGAGCTGCTTAAGAAAAACTTGATTTTGATCCAATGAAAATTTAATTTGAACCCAAATTGACATCCTTCCCTTAAACTGCTTTACCCGCACTGGAGTTTCATGAAAAAATTAAGACTAAACTTTAGTTTTAGTGTCAATGTCAACAAAAGTCAAAAATAATCAATTAGAATCAAAGAAAAGTAGTTTAGATTGCTTTTATTTAATAAAGCATGAAAACCAATTTCAAGTGAAATATAGTCGGTTATTTTTCTTTTTTTAAAGATTCAGACCAAATAAACTCTATTACAATCGTTTTTTTTTCCATATAGTGAGATACAAATTACAACGAACATAAAGTGTTTATAGGATTTTAAACAAAAAGTGGTTATGTGCTGTTGAATTTCAATTTCCTTCCTGCGCAACTTTGATTTTAGTTCCTTTTTCTATGTTACTCATTTTCTCAATTTTGCTCTTTTCAACAATTTAACAATTTTCCTAAAAAATTTATAAACCTTAGATGGAGAGATAATAAAACTGCAAATGGTCTGTTTGGCATGTTTTTTTCAGAAATTGGTTTTTTCGACCCTATTTTCAAAAAAAAGCAAACGTTGGGGTGCTGGGGTTGTAAGTCAAAACATGGCAAACGTTGGGAGGGAGAGGTCAACAGTCAACGTAATTGATTCTGCAGATTAAGAAAGTATGGGATTTAGAAATTGGGCAGGCCGTACCTTTAGTTTGCGAAACTTCCGCATTACTCAATTGATATATGCAGAAACTCTTCAAAATTTTTGCACGACGCGAAACAAAAACAAAGAGGTCAAAATCCAAATCAATTGACTTTAAATGTTTTATATTCAAATTTAAATTAGATAAGAACCAGGGATTATAATTGATTTTTATTTCCATTTATTTGTCTGAGCGCAACATGAGAATCGATTAGTATGATAGCATTTTGGATCGCAAAAAAAGCATTGTCATTGTTTTCTTTTCAATTCTCTTAGATGCGGGTTGGTATGTTAAATTGCCTCAGCCATAAAAAAGCCTTGGTTAATAAATTGCCTTACTAAGTAATATCAATTCAAGATCAAAAAAAATTAAAGATTCATGTGTCATCACTAAGAGGTTTTATTCTTAAATTTGCTGATGTTTGCAAAACGTCATAAAACACCTCACAATTTTTCTCTCGCTTGACATTTTTCTCACGCTTGATATTTTTTGCACGCTCGAAACCTTCTCATAGTTGTAGAGAAGGTTTCTCACTCTTAAAAACTCAACTTCGTTGAAGCTTTTTTTGTTATCTGTGGTTAGAACATTTTTTTGAAAAAGAAATTTTTAATTTAAAAATTAATAAAGTGTTTCTTTTGAATCGTGGATCCTGCCGAGGATAGTCCTGTCGAGGATAATCTATTTGTATTATCCCCACACTTTCCGGACTGTGTTATTTTGTTGAGCGAAGCTCTTTTTTTGTAACTCAAGACCCAAAGCCGTTTTTTTGCGTCTAGAACTTTCACGTGGTACTCCAATTGAGATACTCACACGAGAAATCAAAAATGTAAATTAGCTATGAGAAATTCTTCGAAGGGTCATTTTCATTTTGTTACTAGTAAATCAAAATGTTTTTTAAGGTTAAATTTGATACAAGCTTTCAAATAAAAGAAAAGTCATTACGAGGCCAAACTGTGAATTTTGGAAAATGTAAGCGGATTCCGCAACAAGGACTCTCACTTGGTCTTTTTTTGGTCTTCCATTTCTTTTGATCTTTCCGACGAAACTTTAACATGCTTAAAGACTTGTCTCTGGAATCCAGGAACATAGATGCACAAAATTGTGCGCCTATCCAGTGCACAGTTTGGCCTCGTAATGGTCTAGAATATTAAAATTTTCTGCCCAAGCTCTGTTCCTGCCAATTTTTAAAACCATTTGCTCCAATGGCAAGGTTCAAACATCCCGGGTTGACAAAAAATGCCTATCATACAATTTTCATATATAAAAAAAGTGCTTATCATACTCTTTCATACAATTTCATAGAGAAAAAGTAAGTGTATGAAATAGCAAAAAAAAGCCTTTTTCCATATTATGAAATTGTATGATAAGCATTTTCCCATACTATTAAATTGTATGAGAAGCATTTTTTCCATAAATGAAAACAAAAAAAAATTTGTTTCGAATTTTTGTGTATCAACCGAAACACTAACCAAGGATCTTTTGTCATAAAAAACCCAGTGTGTAACTGGCAGGTGATTGGTAATTTTAGCCATTAAAGTTAATTTTAACATTTTCACATGGAATTATGTACCCAAAAAAGTAACTTTTTGAACATGGCTAGATATTTTTTAATTTGAAAGTTTTGGTGGTTGAGAAAAAAAGGCCTGTTTTTGTACAAATAAATTTTCATCTTAGCAAATGACACAAAAGATAAAAATTGTGTTTAAAAAGAAACACTTTTTTGTGATTCTTAGATTTCTTGGGTGAAAAACTCATCCTGGACTGTGTTACAAACACAAAAAGTCAATTTTTGCATGCAAATTTTTTTTTATAAAATTTATATTTTAGCACAAAAACAAGTTTGCAACCAAAAAAAAAGAATAAAATTTTTTATCTCAAATTTTTGTTTTTGTTCATGAAAAAAATGCCTATCATACAATTTTCAGGAACGTATATCATACAATTTTATGAAGCATTTTTCTGACCGAAATTAAAATTATGTTTTTGATTGTCAAAATTCCCGCCCTTTATCATAGATATATTTATTTAAATCTACCCAGACACATTTTTTGGTAATTTTTTTCTATGACAAAATGACCATCTTATAATTTACATACATGAAAACTGTATGACAAGCTTTTTTTAACAAAAATTTTAAATCATTTTTTTATTGACCAGAAAGCCTAAACAGACGCAACTAGACCAAAAATGTTAAAAGTTTTTTTTTAAACACTTAAAAATTTGTATAAATTTTCTATGATAAACCTTTTTTCCGTAGACTTCATATATGAAACTGTATGATAAGCATTTTTCTTCTATGGACGTCAACCCGGGATTCTGCTCCAAGATGACATCGCGGTAGTTTTTAAAACTAGGCCGTTCACAAAAGAATATCCATTATTTTGTCAATACCTGCTTATACGGACTCTTTTGAAAAAAGCGGAATGTTTTGGTAGATCGCAATTAGACATCAATTGTCTGATTTAGGGATCGAGCCTTTAAA